AAAATAAAAAAAATAAAAAAAAACAAAATAAAAAAAGACGGCCAAAAACCCACATAAAAACCAAAAAAAAAAAAAAAAAAAAAAAAAAGCTAGTTTTTAAAAAATTCTAAAAAATTAAAAAAAATACTTAGAGCTACTAAATATTAAATATATATTGCCCCATATATAAAATACTCAATACATGTATTTAATAGCTTATTAATTTGTTAAATTAATAAATAATTAGCTTTAAAAGTGTCACAATGTAGTACACTGTACTACAAATAGTACGGGTATCTCCTATCCATTAATAATTTAAAAACATATACGTATATATATTAAAATTTTAACAAATTTTAATTCAAACTAACTTTGTTATAGTAATTAAAATTTTTTTACCAATTTATATATTTGTTTAATACTATTTATTGTAAAAGTTTCAAAATTATAGTTTTTATTTTAAAAGTTACAGAAAGAGAAGCAGGACTTAACTACCATATTAATTTGCCGGGAAAGTATTATTTTTGATCTATGAATTTAATATAGATATTTAATTTGCTGTATTAAAAAGAACATTTTTAAACAATAAGATGCAGGCTAGCAAATTACTATAGTAGTTTAAGCCCTGAGAAAAAAATACTTTTGACCAGCACTATATAATAGTAAATAAAACATACTGACATCTTTATTGCGTAATCTCGTGTATCTGTTTCTGCCATACTCTATAAAATACAGTATTATCCTTAAATGGATTTGTAGGCAAATTTGCCTGCAAAAGTCTATGGTTTAAGGGATGATAGCTATTATTACTATTTATACATATGCTTTACTTTGTTAAAATGCTACGATTCACTACGATTAGTTGATGTTGTTAAAATAGCATTGCATTAGTTTCTAACATGAAACCCCTTTATTGGGATTACATTACAGATTATAATGATAACGACAAAACTTTGAAATCGTAAAAAAAAAAAAAATCTGATACTGTATATATTTATATATATTAAGATAGAAGAAGTTAAAACGTGAAGAATGTCGTAAAAAAAAAAAAAAGTTATAAATAATGAAAAGAATATTACAGTGGATAAAAATACTATAAATAAAACATAAGAATACTATATTAAAAAAAACAACTATAAATTTACAAAAAGAAAATTTACAAGAAAGTCTTAAGAATATTTACATACAATAAGGACATTTTCGGGAAATGTGATATGAAGTGTGACCAAATGTTAGCATAAAACAATTCTTTGAAGTGTTTGACAGTGGGAATAAGAAAAAAAAGACATTGGAATAGAAATATTTCTCATTAAAATGAGTGAAAAGTCAATGAAATATTTATGATTCAACATCGTTAGGGCCAATATTTTCACAAATCGGATCGACAATAAAATTGCTATCGTCTAAGTAAGTTTGTTGAATAACGTTCATATAATGATTTGTCATGTCAACTGCGGATTCCTGCTCCGAAACATGGTTTTGTAAAGTGTCTGTTGATACAAAATTACTCGTGCCTGACGCGTAATCCAAATAGCTGTCGGATAAATTAGGCATGGAAACCGCATTGAAAGTAAAATCGTGATCATTCGACGATTGCATCACCATGGATGAAGAATCATATTGTTCGAAAACAAAAGGTAATGTTGGGCAGTAACTATTCAAAGTGGAGATATCATTGGAGATATCATTTAATTGATCAAAATCGACTATGTCACTTGCTTGACTAAAGTCGGATATGTCTGATAAATTACTAAAGCTTGTTGTTGGAGCGTATGTGGATATATAATCAAAGATGTCTCCTTCAAAGGAGCTTGCGGAACTACTGGGGAGCGAAGCATATTGTATCACGTCATCTACTTGGGTGAAATCCAGATCTTGCTGGATTTCCTCCGCCACTTGAAATTGTTCCTCGTCCATGGATGGAGCTCTGGAAATGACTGGTTCATTGAGGACCCTGAAATGTCTACAAATAGGTAAGGTTTACAAAAAGTCTTAATATCTCATTAGAAAAAATTTGCGAAAAAATAATGGATAGATTAGTGTTAGTGGAGCAACCAAAATTCAGCAGATCGACCAAAATTTAGGGTCGGCAAAATTATCATCTGGGCAGCTTTACTTAGCACGTGGGCTACCATTTTATTAGTGTGATTTTGGGAGAAATTTATTAATTCCGACCTATTCCGACCTCGAATTTTGGTCGATCTACTGAATTTTGGTTGCGCTGCTAATCTATTCGAAATAATCAAAAAATACACTTTTTTTGAAAATTTTATATGAACAATAAGCAAATTAAAACATTACCTATCTATAGATATTTCGGGAACCTGTTCATTGTTCTTTGATACTTGTTTATTTTGTTGCGTGCGATTATATGGTTGTGATATTGCTCTTGCCAAATTTTTATTGGGACGATGACGAATTTTTAGTGTGGTCATTTTTGTTTTTGCAACTGAATTATCGGATACATCTGTTGTGGTTTGTTGAGAAATATTAGACCCTGTTGATAATTCATTTTCGTAGACCTGAGTGGAATATTGAGCAGTAGAAATGAAATCTCTTGAATCTTCATTTTGAATAATATCATTTTTAACTTCATTTTTTCGCATCATTGCTCTTTTTGTTGTCATCGGTGATGATTTGTTGTAAGGTGCGGCCTTCTTGCGAGCTTCTTTCGTAAGACGTCCATGGGTTTTTGTAGACTTTTTACGGGATGATGATTCGTTTGATTTGGTAATTTCGATGTCGTCGGCAATAACAAGTGGTTCTTCTTCAATTAAATCAGTGTATGGAAGATCAAATGCCTGAATGATTATGGTTCTCATATCCTTTGCAGTTATCTTTCCTGATCTAACAGCAGTGAATTTATCTTCCCAATCCACCTTTTTATCCAGAAATTCGGTGGTCAATCTCTCGAGTTTTTCATTATCTTTTTCGGCGCGGTTTCTTCTATTATTGAACCAAGTCTCAATTTGTTTGATGGACAACCCAGTTGTTTCACTTAATTTTAACTTTTCAGAATGGTTCGGTCGGTCGGATATTTCACAAAAATAGCTTTCGAGAATTTGCTTGGTATCGTCTTTAAAACGTGATTGATTGATACATGAATGATCCATGGAAATGGTGTTTACATTATAAAATCCAATTGTGACTCGAAACTGTTCAATCATTTGTGATAGCATATCCACAAAAGAAGAATCTATTTGGTTTAATGTTTTGATTACTTGTTCCTTATTTCCGGATGGAAGCATAAAAATATCTCGTAATGCAGATTGTTTTTGTTCGCGACATTTTTGAAGACAAAATTTATGTGCGGAATTTACCGCGTTCAAGAATTTTGTTTTGACACTTTCACCAAAGCAAGTTTCTATTTTTGAAATTTCATCTTGGTGTATCGTCTCGGCAGGTATTTCGTTGTCTAATTGACTTTCGAAAAGTTTGAAGAAAGAGGTCTCATCATCATAAATTGATGAACCATAGCCGTAATCAACAAATAATTTTTGACGAAAGGATGTATGAAAATTCGTAGAAATTAAGTCTGAATTATTTGGAAATTTAGAAGCCAATTTCGTAAATTTAGAACGAATTTCGGAAAGAACGTGTGCCTTTTCTTTAAAAGAATCCATCCTTTAATGTACTCAATTTGAAAAAAAAAAAATTTTCGGACAAAATATCTCGAAAGGATATGGGAAAATTGGCCATTTATATGATAGGCAGAAACTTGAAACCTTAATGATGGTTCGATGATTTGAACTTATTATTATGATATTATTTCAGATCTATCACTTAATTACTCCTACGTATGTCAAATATGAACTGCAGGTGCGTGTCAAATTTACTCACTGCGCATCACACAATAATATATGGTATATGCACGTAAAAAATTTGGGTTTTAAAATTGTAATTGAATTAGACATATAAATTTAGAATAAAGTTTTAATTACGTATTAGCGATATTTATAATTATTACTATAATTTCAATTTTATCGTAAGAAATTCGTGCAAATAATTATGTTCTATTTTAATTAATAGTTTCATAAATTAAAATTTTATCGTGACAGACGACGAGTGATCGCATTAGAATTAATTTTATTATTCGTAATATTAATTTTATTAAGTTCTGAATATTATTTTAATTGTATACTGTCTCAACCCATTTATTTATAATGGTTCTAATCAATTCCAACTAAAATGTGAAATTAAATTCTAATTTCTCCTTTAGACTTCTACCATCAACGATGTATTTTTTTTATCTTGTTTCTGCATGTGATTTAGCCCTTTATCTTTATGACATCACTATTACGTTATTGATAGAAATTTATTACTAATTATGAGAAAAAAAATTCACTTAAAAGGAATCGTATTAATGCCGCCTTTCATAAATCAGTTCATCCTTTACCTTTTACTAACCATTTTTAAATTTTAGAAGCAAATTGTTCATTACCTTTTACGTTAACAGATATCCTGATGCTGACCGAAGGAGTCGAAGATGAAAGTAAAGGATTTGTAGGAACTACAAAAGATCAAACAAAAAATGAACTTACGAAAGATCAGGAAGAAAGTAAACTTATGAAAGGCGTAACAGAAAGTGAACGTAAAGATCAGACAGAGAGCGAAATTTTGAATGGTCAGATGGAAAATGAGCTTATGAAAAATCAAACCAAAAACGAATTTGCGAAAGACCAAACAAAAAATGAACTTGTGAAAGATCAAATGAGAAATGAATTTACGAAAGATCAAACAAAAAATGAACTTGTGAAAAATCAAACAGATAAACGTCATACCGAGCAATTGGATCCAAAATATAAGGATGCCTTGTTACAAGAAAAATTCGCAAATCAAAATGACCAACAAATGGTTCAAGAATCTATAGCGCAAGCCCAAATAACTAAAGCTAAAATTAAAAAAGTAAGATTCAGCGAAATAACAGAAAGTCAACTTGACGAAGATGATGTTCACCCTAACTATAAAGCATCTGTAGACTATGGACCTTCTCAATCATCCGGATTTTATGGTGATCTCTCAATTTTTAATAAATTTTATTACGACCAATATGTGAATTATTAATTACAACTTTTATATGTTTATTGATTCAGAACCAAGACATCATAAGATTGAAAGACATCTTAAAATTGAAAAAACAGATGTAACTTTGACTCCAGAAAAAGCTAGTAAATTATTTGGAAAATTAGGTTTGGCCGAAGCTTGGGAAAAATTCGTTTCACCAAAATCACAAAATAAAAAGGTGATATAAATGTTCTTCGTTTTATTACCAATGTATACTTAATTGATCGACTCTAAAACTTTCCAGAGAATTTCTTTTCTTTGAATGTTTAATGAAGAAACACGACGCAATAATAATCGAGTCATCGATTGCTTATCCTAATTTACGTATTTACATGCATCCAATGCTAAACATTAAAGCTATTCTTTAATCAAACATAACAAGAAGTGCTTTATTTTAGGAAATGAACACCGCAAAATATTAGAATGTGCTTGTTAAATTAAACGTATCGTATTAATGGACTTTCGTTCGTGATAGTGTTGACAATTTGCTTTTGCATAGTGTACTGCCCTATTAATAAAAGACAGATTCACACTTGCAACAATGTTAACTCTAAATAAGTTAAAGTTAAAAGAAACAAATTACCTGTTTCTATTGACTTCACCCAAAGTCGGTTTAATCTTGCTGTCATTACCTTACAATCTCATAAAAGTTAAAAGCAATATTTTCTGAAAGAATGGATAACGTGTGTAATTTCGTGGATGTCTAAAAGAATAATAACGCGTAAAAAAAAAAAAGAAGCCAAATTATATAAACAAAAAATAATGATTATCCAATTTCATGTAAAATAAGCCAATTAACCAAATTGCGAATTAATTACAACGAAAACATTATTAAGAAAAAATTAAGCTAAAAAAATAAATGATCTGTTCGTGATTAATTATTTATCTATCTACCCAAAAATGTCTGAGGTATTCAACCAGTTTGGCTCTAGCCTTAACTACACATCTATTCGACTTAATAACTAGTGAACTAGTCAATCAAGAGGATGTTACTAAAATTTAAACAAGTAATTTTATTAATCTTATTAATTTATGATCTATTAATTCTAAATACGTTCGACGAGTACGTATTAAGTCTAAAAGATCTAGAGCACCTATTCTATAATGGGACTAAGGTGAGTCGACCACATTATAAACAAGTTTTCTATTTCATTGGAGGCAGCAGAGGCTTCTGCAACACATAGAAAGTCCTTCTCTTGTCCTACATTCAAAGCTAGTCCACTTTGTTCGTTTTATTGCCGACACCACATAGCGTGACAATTTAACATATATTATTTGTAAATTGTCGCGTTATGTGATGTATATTAGGTTAGGTAAAATCAAAATTATTAGCGAAATACACTAATACGTACGTACGTACGTACTTACGTCGATCACTTTTCCAAGAAAAATTTCATTCTGTAATATCATGCAGCGTACAAAGGCATATTTAAGGAAAAGATGGACTGAAAAATAGATATTAAAAGGTATTTTCCTAATTTAAAAAAAAAAAAAAAATGGAAACTATTTACGAAAAAACTGCAACTTCTCCAGTGAACATAGCAGTCATTAAATACTGGGGAAAACGGGATACAACTTTAATTCTTCCAACAAATCCTTCACTTTCTGTGACATTATCTCAAGATCACTTGCATAGTAAAACTACAATTCGAGCTTCTTCAGATTTTGAAAAAACTAGACTTTGGCTTAACGGCGTTGAAGATGTTGATATAGAAAAAAACAAGCGATTACAAAATTGCTTGCGTGAAACCCGACGTTTACGTAAAGAATATGAAGAGAAATTGCGTAAAGATAAAGGCCCAGATAAAGTCTTGCCTTTATCAGAATATAATCTTCACATTTGTTCTGAAAATAATTTCCCTACAGCAGCTGGATTAGCTTCCTCAGCATCTGGCTTTGCATGTTTGGTATATACACTTTCTCAATTATATGAATTACCAATTTCTACCACTGAATTATCAAAAATCGCAAGACAAGGTTCGGGATCAGCTTGTCGTTCATTATTCGGTGGATTCGTCGCATGGGAAATGGGTTCTAAAGATGACGGATCCGACAGCCAAGCGGTACAAATTGCGCCGCGAGACCATTGGCCTGAATTAGAAGCTTTGATTTGTATAGTCAGCGACGCCAAAAAGGGAGTCAGTAGTACAGAAGGAATGCAAACTACGGTCAATACTTCTACCCTCCTTCAACATCGCATTGAACATGTTGTTCCTGTTCGAATGAAATACATGATTGATGCTATTCATGAACGAGATTTTCAAAAATTTGCTGAAATTACCATGCAAGATTCTAATCAATTTCACGCCGTGTGTTTAGACACATTTCCTCCAATTTTTTATCTTAATGATGTTTCTCGAGCTATTATTCGTATGATTACAGAATATAATTCTACTAACTCTGAAAAAAAATTAAAAGCTGCATATACTTTTGATGCTGGGCCAAACGCTGTGATTTACACAACTAGTGAAAACATACCTGAGTTAATTAATTTGATAGCAAAATATTTTCCAGGCAATGATGATGTAAAAAATTATTTCTTTGATCCTTTTCAATTATTTGTTGGAAAAACCATTGGAGAACAACCATTACCTTTAGGATTCAACGATCAGATAATTCCAGTATTTCCTAAAGGTAGTGTTAAACAAATTTTACATACAAAAGTTGGTGATGGACCAAAAGTTGTGGTTGGAGAATCTGAAGGATTATTGAATAATCAAGGATGGCCAAAAAGACTTAAATAATATCATATACTGTAATGTAATAATAACAATGTATTACAAATGCCAAGAATCATACAATTGCTAATTGAGCTATTGGTTTTTATTGAAAATATTAATTCATAGAAGTATTAGATATAGCAATAACTAGTAGAAATTATAGCTAAGGATCATAATGTTTTGAAATAATCTCGCTGCTATATCGCTCTTGTAAAATCAACAGCTCTGAACAGTAATTCTAAACAACTCAAACAAATAATAAACTTGTTATATGACTACTTGTATTTTCATATACATGTAGTCTTGTCTCTTTCGTAACTGCAAATCACCATTATCCTCTTAGAGCGTAATTGCAATAAACTATATATTTTACTTAAGCATAAACACGGTATTTGTCTAACATATCCGTCACTAAAGTAAATTAGTTATACCGAACTTATAAGAGGTAGTTTCAGGTGTACTTTGTTTATATAATTTTATTAAACATTACTAAAATATAAAAAATTTTTTATAATCAAAAATTTTTACGATATTTTATGCTTTTACTATCTGATATAGATATTTTGCATTTTAATTACATCATAAATTTAGATTAATAAAAGTTTGCTTTAAAAGTAATATTTTAATTTATAAAGATTAAGATCAGTTTTAATTTATACTACGTATATAACTTATACATCAAACTCTGCTAATATCTAATATAAATATAAATATCTACTATAACTTATGATAAAACTTTGTATTTAGGTACATAATATATATACTTACTTATCTGGCAGATACTACAATGTCAGGTTATTAAAATAACCTGAGTTATAATCAGTAATTATAATTGTATGTCAGGTGTAATCTTTATATTGGTTAGAATACATTTTTAACTATTGCATATTTCACTTTACTAAGAGGTGTTCTCAAGCACCCACTCAATGGATATAAAATCAAATAAACTAACCAATTAACATCTCGATGAATAAAATATGAAGTGCAGACCATTTTTTCATAGTGTTACTCTGGTTTGCCAAAATTTAAAATCCGCATTTCGCACAAAGAATTACTAGCATATTATAACAAGAAACACTTCAATTAATTGCAATAATCAATCACATTGGAATTGCCTTGAGAAAATTATATTTATTTGAGTGCAGTCAAATTAAAACCTATAAGTAGAAATTTTGGTTTCTCCGTATCGGACTTAACATCTAAAATTACTTGAATTATTATTCTATAACTTAATATTTATACTATTTGTCACCCGTGACATTTCATAGCAACTCAAATACTTAAAGGTCCAATTTGACAGCACTCATTTATAAACTGATATTGACCTGGGTCATAACTCAGTTCGGGTCGAGTATTGGCGTGGATCACTAGTGAGAAGATAAAAACAACATTTGATATTTTATATAGAAATGGCAAGCATTTTATAACACAATGTTTTAAATCAATTTTATAATTTTTAAAAAGATTTATCGTTTTAAAGCATGTTTAAATCAATTTATAAAAAATTAACCCGTTTTTTTTCAACTCAATTTTATACATAAATCTCATAAGAACTGGCATACGAATTACCGAGACCGCTTCAAATAAAAAAAAACTGCATATCAGTAAGGAATTTTTACACTATTGATCAGATTGCTACCGACTATCCTTGATAGCCCTTCAGTGATTTCTTGCGTGTTGATGAGCTTTGAAGTATACATGTGATCCGGATGTTTTTGCATAACAATCGGTAATTCTTTGGCAACCTTATCTGCTTCTAAGAATTGCCTTTTAATTTCATTTGCATCATCTAAACTTTCCATACATTTATTCCATTTCTTAAGTTTTTCAATAACCTCCCAGTCAGCTGGTCGTTTTTGTGGATCAGAATTCATGCATTGCATCGCTAATTCAACATAACATTCGGGAGTTCCAGGTGCAAATTCAGGTCGTAATCCGCTGCAAATATTTATTGCTAAAACATTACCAAACTCGTAACCATCAAAAGCTCTTTGTCCGGTTGAAATTTCTGACATGATAACTCCGAACGAGTAAATATCTGTAGCACGTGTAAATATCGATTTACAAGATAAAATTTCTGGTGCGATATATGGCAAAACACCATAAATTCCACCATCTTGTTTTTCATTATATGATACTGATAAACCTAAGTCAGTAATATAAACATCGTCTAGATTATTTAGTAAAATGTTTCCTAAATGTAAATCTCGATGTATAAAGCCTTGAGAATGAATTGTTTTAAGATCAGATGCAATATAAGATATTATTTTTAATTTATCCTCCCATCTCAACCGAAATATGTTCTGAAGATTTTGATGCAAAGATCCTAATTTTGCATATTTTAATACAAAAATATAATCATTAGTAATTTCATCTTTTGATATTCCATAATATTTTCCATAACTTTTTCCAAAACTATGGTACGCCGCTAACTAATAAAAATATATAATTAATAAAATTTAAATTAAAGTTTTAAAAAAACATTAAATTTAGATTAAAAATACCTCATTTAAAAAAGATTCATTTTTATGTGAATCTTTTACTCTTTTAATGGCAACAATATAATCATCCAAATCCTCACAAATAGCTTTATAAATTGTCGAAAAACCTCCTCTACCTATTTCTTCGATATTTTTAAATTTATCATATGATATCCAAGAAACATCATGCATGTGTTGATTACGAACATTTTCAGAAGTAGCAGCTTCTAAATACCATTTAAAGGCTTTCTTTTCGTTTTTTTCAACTCCAATTCCATTTCTGTAACAATTACCAAGTTCAATTGTTCCAGCAGCATGACCCATTTCAACTGATTTTTGATAACATTCGAAGGCCTTATGTTTGTCCATTTCGACTTTGATTCCCCTTTTATAATAATCTGCAGCTCTATAATAAAATTCACCTGCTTTATGCTTGTCCTTTTCGACCCCGATTCCATGATGATAACAATACCCAACTTGATATGTTCCATCAGCATGGTCCATTTCGGCTGATTTTTGGTAATATTCGAAGGCCTTGTGTTCGTCTTTCTCAATTCCGATTCCATGATAATAACAATATCCAACTTCATATGTTCCATCAGCATGGTCCATCTCGGCTGATTTTTGGTAATGAATAAAGGTCTTATGTTCGTCTTTCTCAATTCCGATTCCATTATGATAACAATATCCAACTTTATATGTTCCATCAGCATGACTCATCTCGGCTGATTTTTGATAATATTCAAATGCCTTATGTTCATTTTTCTTAACTCCAATTCCATTTCTGTAACAATTACCAAGTTCAATTGTTCCAGCAGCATGGCCCATCTCAGCTGATTTTTGATAATATTCAAAGGCTTTATGTTTGTTTACTTTGACTCTGATTCCTTTTTCATAATATTTTGCTGCTTGACAATAAAATTTACCCGCTTTATGTTCGTCCTTTTCGACTCCGATTCCATAATGATAACAATATCCAACACTATATATTCCACTTAAATTTCCCTTATTGGCAGATTTTTGATAATAAAAGAAAGCCTTATGTTCATTCTTTTCGACCCCGATTCCATGACGATAACAATATCCAACTTTATATGTTCCATCAGCATGGTTCATCTCAGCTGATTTTTGGTAATATTCGAAGGCCTTGTGTCCATCTTTCTCAATTCCAATTCCATTTTTATAACAATTACCAAGTGCAAATGTTCCATCAACATTCCCCACCTCGGCAGATTTTTGATAATATTCGAAAGCCTTATGTTTGTTCTTTTCGACTCTTGTTCCTTCTCGATAATAATCTGCAGCTTTACAGTAATATTTTCCTATTTCACATTTATCGTTTTCAACTTCGTTTATATTTTGATAATATCCCATCTCTGCAGTTTTTTGAAGATAAATGAATGCCATTAATTTATCCTTTTTGACTCCAATTCCATTTCGATAACAACATCCAATTTCATATGTTCCATCGGCATGGCCCATATCTGCGGACTTTTGATAATATTCGAATGCCTTACGTTTGTTCTTTCTGCCTCCAATTCCATTAAGATAACAATATCCAA